TTGTGAGTTCGAGACCAGCCTAGGCTACAAAGTGAGCCCAAGGCCAGCCTGAACTTCATAGAGAGACCCTGTCTCAAAAAGATAAAAATAAAATAAAATTTAAAAAAAAAGAAAAGAAAAGAAAGAAACCGTAATCCTGGCCAACACTAGGATTGCTGCCTTCCAAAAAAATCAGTGAATTGGTTCCAGGACTCCTGATCTACAGAAATGGGTGTGACAAACATGTGCTGCCGTAAGCCACTAACTTTGCAGGAATAGATAAATAACACACTCCTCGGGGCTGGGGATTTAGCTCAGCGGCATAAGCGCCTGCCTTGCAAGCAGGCAGTCGTGAGTTCGATCCCTGGTACCGATAAAAAGGAAAAAGACAAAAAAAAAATAAATAAATAACACACTCCTCTTCTCTGTCTCCAGATCTTTGTTCCTTCAGTCCTGCTCTATGTTGAATCACCAGTATCTCCATTTTTCTTCTCATCAGCCTATCAGCATGCTCTATTGACTCCATCTTAAACACACTCTTTTTTGGGGGATGCCAGGGATCAAATTCACAACCATATAGTTGCAAGGCAGGCGCTTATGCTGCTGAGCTAAATCTCCTGCCCTTAAATATACTCTTAAACTGGGTATGATGGTGCATACTTGTGATCCCAGCACTCTAGGAGGCTGAGGCAGGAGAATAGCAAGTTCAAGCCCAGCCTGGGCAACTAAGTGTGAAAACAGAAAATAAAAAAAGTCTGAGGATGTAGCTCAGTGTGAAGGCCTTTGTATTGCACAAAACAAAACACAAAGCAAAAACAAAACAACAACAAAAACACTTTTTAGTTGTCTCTTAGCCCTCTAATTTGTTTCTCCATTTTCCAAAGCAAAACTTCTTGAAATCCTTGTCTCCAGTTATTGGTCCCATGTCTCATATTCGCTCCTCAAACCATTTTTTTTTTCTTTTTGAGACCAAGCTGGCCTCAAATTTGTAGCAATCTGCATGCCTCAGCCTCCCAAATTCTGTGATGACAGCTGTTCGCCTCCACACCCAGCCAAACCAGCACACCCAGTGGGCCTCACAGGGCCCAACGTGTTACCCAATCCAGAGATCATGTCTCCTCTCGCTTGCCCTCTGGACAACATTTGACACAGCCAGCCCTCTTTCTTGAAATGCCTGCTCTTCTGGTTTCTGCACACTCTTAGCTTTCTTCCTCCCTTGGCTCAGTCACTTTCTCATTGTTGAGACACAAGACCCAACACCCACAATGTAAAGGAAGAGAGGCTTAATTTGCTCTTGGTTTCCATCTGATTAGCCAGCTCTGAGGCACAGACAAAATGGCAGAAGGGTATGGAGGGGCACAGCCACTTAGTTCATGGCAGCTGGAAGTAGAGTCAGGCAAGAGTGCCAGCATGGAAGGGGTGAGGGACCAGACATAGGCCCCAAGGGCATGCCCATTCTTATTTATTTATTTATGGTGCTGGGAATCAACCCCAGGGCCTTGTGCATGCAAGGCAAGAACGCTCCACTGAGCCTCGTCTCCGGCCCTCCAGAATCCATTCTTTTCTTATCTCCTCTGCTGCCCCCACTTTCCAGCTCAGCCTCTGGACAGGGTCACGCCCCTGAGCCTCATGGCAGTTACATCACTTACCCCTTGCAGCGCTGTGAGAGTTGCCTAAGGTAATGAATGTATGGGCGTTTGAAAACCATTCCTTCCCCATGAATCACTCGGCCTAGACAGCCGCCTCTCCCTCCCCACACATTCTTGTCAGGTGGCTCCAGACTTAGGGGGAGAAGACTGCTTCCCACAGAGGCTGAGTATAGCACCAATGCTTTCCCAAAACCTTGATCTAAGAAAAGTCCTGTGTTTTTGCAGGGCCTGCTTTTAATTCATTCAGCTTAGAGCTTTCAGGAAATGAAGTATGTGTGAGTGTGGGTAAGTGACTGTCCAAATACAAGTCCTATGGCAATGAGATAAGGCATTTGTCGTTCTGTGCCTGGCATATTTTTCTTCTGAGATTCTGCTCTGAGGACCATACTCATAGTCTTTGTCCTTTTACTAAATGAACCAGGCACTAAACAGAAGTTGGGGTGGATATGGCGGTGCACACCTGTAAACCTAGCACATAGGCGCTGAGGCAGGAGGATCTTCTCTAGATGGAGGCAAGCCGGGTTACATGATGAGTCCAAAATCAGATGAACTACAGAGCAAGACCCTGCAGCTCTAATTTGCACACCAAGGGAGCCATTCATTTACCTAATGAATATTTATCAAGCAAGTATCCAGGTATCTACAACCCTTGGTCCCTTACAGGAGATCATCAGTGCTGAAGAAAAAGCAGTGAGTGAGATAACAAGCAATGAACTCCCTGCCCTGCAGAGCTCTTGGACAAGAGCAGGACATCACTCCTGTGGGAGAGGAAGTTCAGAATGACTGGGAATTGCAGTGACAGCTGCGACAGATCACGAACATCTTCCTGAAAATGACTTAAAAGCTGAGAACTAAAAGTGTCTGTGACCTAGCAATCCCACTTCCAAGTATTTACCCAAAATATTTAAAATCAGGAGGATTTCAAGAGTGATTGGCACACCTGTGTTTGTTGTGGCACTATTTATAGCATCAGCCTAAAAGTCCATCAATGGATAAATGAATATACACAACGAAGTACTATGCAGTCTTGAAAAAGAAAAGAAATTCTGTCCTCTGTGACAACAGGGGTGGAATTAGAAAACATTACACCCAGAGAAATAAGCCAGGCACAGGAAGATAAATGCCTAATGTTTCTTTTGTACATGGAATCTACAACATTTGAATTCACAGACGAAAGTGGCATGGTGATTACTAGAGGCCAGTGGAGGGGGAAGTGGAGAGATAATGATCAAAGATACAGAATGAAGTTACACAAGAGGAATAAGTTTGATTTTTTTTCCTTTGAGGGCTGTTGGCCAGCACAATGAAGACAGCTAATAATCAAGATGCACATTTCAAAATTGATAGGAAAATAAATCTCAAATGTTCTCATCACAAAAAATGTCAAGTATTTGAAGTGAAGTGTAGGTTAATTGCTTTGATCTAACCACTTGACACTGTACTAAAGCACATAACATCACTTTGTACCCTAAAAATATTTACAGCTTAATTTGCCCATACATAATTTTCCCCTCTGAGATGGGGGTCTTGCTCTTTTGCTCAGCCTGGTTTTGATATCCTTGGCTCAAGCCATCCTCCAACCTTAGCCTCTCCAGCCTCTGGGACCACTGGGGTGTGACCACACCCAGCTCTGTCAATATCTAATTTTTAGAAAGATATCTGCAAATTGGGCTGAGGCAAGATCAAGTGCGAAGCTTTAGGCAAGAACCTGAACCTCTGAAAAGGTGCAAACAGAAAGGCTGGAGTGGGAGTGAAAATGGATCTTGCTGAGGCTGAAACTACCTTAAGGACCTAGGATGATCTCCTGTAAGGAACTCGGGAGCCTCAAAGAGCTTCCTTGTCCCAGGGGAGAGACACAAGCACCTGCTGGGATCCCATAGGCCCACTTGTCTCAGACCTCCGTTGGTGGCTAGGAGCATTCTGTTGGCTCAGTTGCTAATCTTCAACTAGTAATAACCTCTGCTGTCATTAAACAAAACTATGTGATCTTCAGTATCAGTTCTCCCCACCTCCCCACCCCCAGACTAACCCCTTGCTCCCTTCGGTGATTTCTCCAGTTCTCTTAAACTCTCCCTTCCCTATTTCCTCTCCCCTAACTGGGGACATGTACCAGGACGGCACCCTCTTCTCACCTCTCCCTAGACCATGACATCTGAAACACAGAACTACACCTACTACATTTGCATGTTCCTCTTGGCAAAACCGCTCATCCTGAGATGAAATCGTTCCCAGGCAAAATTCAGAGCAAGAAAGCGCAAACCCACAGGATAGGGAGTTGGGAAAGCCCATGGTTTGTGATAAGAACTGGTCTTCTTTTTAAAATAATACCCAGGGGTCAGGGGTTTAGCTCAGTGGCACAAGCACCTCCTTGGCAAGTGTGAGGTCATGAGTTTGATCCCTGGTACCAATAAATAAATAAATAAATAAACAAACCTATCAGAGAGTCTTTCACACACTCCATGTTTGCATGCCTTACCTGAATGTCTGTAACAAATTTATTTTTAATATCTTTAATGGCAACAATTCAGACAGGATGTTCCTGGCAACAGCACCTCCGCCAATGAGTTAATCCTGCCTGCATTCTCTAAGACCAACGGCTTTTGTTTATTTGTTTTTTCGTACCAGGAAATGAACTCACAACCTTATCCTTGCTATACAGGCGCTTTTGCTACTGAGCTAAATCCCCAACCCCTAACCAATGGCTTCCGTATCCAAGCAATTTATGTGAATTTCTCCCTTTTCATAACAAAAGCCTCCCTCAGCTTCCCTCTTTGGCTGCACCCGCGGGTTGCCATAATACGCATCTTGGACTGTTACGCTTTTGCTAGTTCCTGAATGAACTCTTTATACTCGGGAGATATTTTTCCTCTGCTGTTTCTTTTCGGCTTTGATATGACTGAATGCCTGTAGGAATGACCACACCCTGTGCACACTACATTGCTTGGGTTACTAAATGCATGCATGATTGCATTTCAGCACAGCCCGAGACACTGCTAGAATCTGGAAGAGTACCTGCCCGGCCACTGGTGAGAAGAAAGGCCTCAAAGGGGCGATCAAGCTGCAAAGCCAGGCGCTGGAGTTCATTGCCTGGGTTGGAGTTCTGCTCCAAGAGACGTTTGACAAACCACTGATCTCTATTTCCTCGCCTGTAAAATGGGGATAGCATCTGCTTTAAAAGATTGCCATGATGACCAGAGGGAGATGACACACAATGCCTAACATGATCAGGGTGCAATACCTGCCACATCAGCTTTCTAGTCAAACCAGCGCCCCTTCCTCGCCTTACACCCCCGCGTATCCCACGTGCCTCGCGTAAATAAGCGAGCGCGCAGGCGCCCGGGGCCGACAGTAATTGGCCACCCGGCCCAGGGGCAGTGCGGGGACACCAGCCTCGGCTCCAACCAGCCAGTCAGTTGCTCGCGGTGTCTGCGGGTTGGTGTCCGGGCCGCCGGCTTCGCGCTAGCCATGGCGCCCTGGCTGCGGCTCCTGTGGCTGCTTGGGCTGCTCCCGGGCGCCGCCCCCGCGCCTGCACCCGCCGAGCCCCGGGCCGCCGGCGCGGTGGTCTGGGAGCCTGCGTCCCGGGAGCTTTTGGGGCCCGCCCGCTTCGCGCTGGACGCGTACAACCGCGGCCGGGCTGCGGGGACTCAGGCGGTGCTGGAGACCGTGCGCGGGCGAGTCCGTCGGGTGAGGACGCGGGGCCGGGCGGGCGCCGGGCCTGGACCCGGGGATGGGGCCTCTGGCATACACTGGGGGTGAGGGCGGGGATAACCGAGCGGACAGCCTCTGGGAGCTGGGAACGGGCAGGGGCTAGGGGGGCGCGCGGGCCCAAAGAAGGAGGGGGTTGGCGGTGTCCACCTTACTCGCCCCTCCATTCAGGCCGGCCAGGGTTCGCTGTACTCCCTGGAGGCCACCCTGGCGGAGCCGTCCTGCGAAGACCTCATGTTGTGCCAGATCCCTGTGTCCAAGATAACCTTGGTGAGTAATTTCTGCCCCAGGCCCAAACAGCAGTTGGGATAATAGGTCTAGAGGCAAGGGCCTGAGGTAGCAGCAACCTCTCCCTGAGTTGCTTCTGAGGTCTCCAGCTCCGGAGACCAAGAGGTTTTGAGATGCTGGCTATGCTTCACTCTCCACTGTGGGGCAATTGCTCTGGGGGCCTCTAAGAAGCCTCTAGCTCCTTTTGCCTAGACCTTGTTCCCATCCCAGTCCCCATACTGGCTTATTCCTCTTTCTCCAGCTCTGCAGCTTCGAAATCCTGGAGGAGATGGGAAAACACATGCTGTTGAGGCGAGACTGTGGCCCTGTGCATCCCAAGGTTTCAGGTGCTAGGATATACCCCAAGGAGGCTGGGATAGCCTAGGTCGCTGATGGCGAACCTTTTAGAGCTTTCAGTGATAGTAAACAGCCCACTGCGGGCACGTGTGCCATACATTCACCACCATTGGCCTAGATCATACTTCACTCAGGGTTCAGCTTTGATTTTTCTCTCTGTTCCAACCCTATCCAGATCTCAAAAATGAGACTTTTAGTTCAGTCCTTCCACTGTCAAGCAAGGATCCCCTTCCCAAGGTGAGGAGCCTGTATCTGGGGAGCTAGCTGCTGCCTGATTCCCCATCTTTTCTGTTTACCCCCGGAGGAGGGCTACTGGGTTAGGCCAAACTTCTTATAAAGATCCCCCTGTGTTTCCAGAAGTTTGCTATGAAGATAGCTTCACTCTTCAAGAAGTTTGTTGCCACCTATAACCGAACTTATGAGTCAAAGGAAGGTAAGGACTCAGCTGTGGCTGTATTTGTCCTAGTCAGATTAGGGTCTTACCCCAACGAGTTTGGGAGGGGAAGGACACAAGAGGCAGTGCATCCTTTCAAGGATGCCTCAGCCCCCAAGTTCTTTTCCAGCCCTCCAGGACTGGTGAGTCATCCCAAGTATCTGTCTGCTTCTGTCTTATCTTCCTGATCAGGAAAAGTGGGTCTCCATTCTTCTAGGGAGCTTAGGATGGGGCAGAGGCTAGATTTTTCTCTGGGGAGGGCCTTCTGCACCATCACCTTTCCTGTGCCTTCTCCTGGGGATGCCTCTTAGGGTCTAATTCAGTTCCAGTTTTCACTGCAGCACTTGCAATCTCACCCACCCCAGAGTTCTGTCCTTAAAAAAGAGCTTTAGGGCAAACCCAGAATCCATCTAATCCCTTGCTTTTTAGTCCCACTCACACAACGGCCCTTATGATTTGCTCGGGGTCTAAGCTCCTCCTCTCCTGCTCTTTGGTCCTCAGAAACCCAGTGGCGCTTGTCTGTCTTTACCAGAAACATGATACTAGCTCAGAAGATCCAGGCCCTGGACCGTGGCACAGCTCAGTATGGGGTCACCAAGTTTAGTGACCTCACAGGTAGGGCTGGAGCCTAGGAGAGAGATGGTCTGCTCTTGAGGCCCCTGGCCAGGGCTGACCTATAGCTCTCCTCCCTCCATGTTGTGCCCTTAGAGGAAGAGTTCCGCACCATCTACCTGAACCCCCTCCTACGAGAGCACCCTAGCAAGACGATGCGCCAAGCCAAGATTGTGCATGACTCTGCCCCACCTGAGTGGGACTGGAGGAAGAAAGGGGCTGTCACCGAAGTCAAGAATCAGGTTGGAGGCCTAGAAGTGAGGGTGGCCCTGCACACTGCTTTGGGCTGGGGGAGGGGTCCTCCCTGGATGCCGTCCATCTCTTGCAGGGGATGTGTGGGTCCTGCTGGGCCTTCTCTGTCACAGGCAACGTGGAGGGCCAGTGGTTCCTGAAGAAGGGCACTCTGCTTTCCCTCTCAGAGCAAGGTAAGCGTCCTGCTCCACCCTCCCTGTCCCCAGTTCAGCCCCATCCTCAGCACCTGCCTTCTGTCTCCTAGAGCTCTTGGACTGTGACAAGGTGGACAAGGCCTGCATGGGTGGCTTGCCTATCAACGCCTACTCTGCCATCAAGAGTTTGGGTAGGCATTAATGGAATCAGAAGGGAAAGTAGGTGTCTCTTGTCCCTCTATAAGAAGCCAACTTACAAGGGGAAGAGACAGGAGCATGGAACTGGATTTAAGACTTCCTGCTGACCTGCTGGGTATGGTGGTGCTCACCTCTTATCCCAGCTCTCTGGGAGGCTGAGGCAGGAAGACTGCTGTGAGTTTGAGGCCAGCCTTGAGCTACAAAGTAAGCTCAAGGCCAGCCTGAACTGCATGGCAAGACCCTGTCTCAAAAAGACAATAGTTAAAAGAGAGAGAAAAAAAAAGTAAATTCCATTTGGGTAACAGGGACTCGGTGAGCAAGCAGTAGCAACACAGCATCTCCTGACAGGAGGCATGGCCCCAAATTGGCAGTTCAGTTCCCTGATGGGCAGCAGTGGAAGGTTAAAGGGTTGGACAGAGTCTGGCCCAGTAGCCTGGCAGGATGTGGGCTGGACTAAGAAAGGACTGTCAACAGGACAAGCTTTCCAAGGTCCACAATCCAGGAAAGCTGGATGGGCCCTCAGCACAGGTAGAAGCTCAGAGTTGAGTCCCTGCTGCTGGTTTTGCTGGTCACTGGCTGCTCTCCGCAGGCCCCCCGCTTCTCCCTGTGTCATCTCTGGAATCCAGAGGTTCCTCAGAGGGGAGGGCCTGTGGCCTAAGGTGGATGAGGAATGTGGGACCTTAGGTATCAGGGGAGAAAGTCAGCGAAAAATAAGTGGAGTCCATTCTCCCTTTGCACCCTCAACCCACCCACATTGTTCCCCAGGAGGGCTGGAGACAGAGGACGACTACAGTTACCAGGGCCACATGGAGGCCTGCAACTTCTCAGCAAAGAAGGCCAAGGTCTACATCAATGACTCAGTGGAGCTGAGCAAGAATGAACAGTGTGAGTGAGGGGCGGGAAGAGGTTAGGCTGGGTGTGGCTGGCCCAGGTGCCCACTGATGTGGCCCCTCTCCCCTCAGACTTGGCGGCATGGCTAGCTGTGAAGGGTCCCATCTCCATTGCCATCAATGCCTTCGGCATGCAGGTGAGGTCCAGGTCCTGGCCCTCTGCCCCATCACTAGCTCATCACTCCCTTGATCCTCCTTGGAGCTGGCTCTCCATTCCTTATTCTCCCCCTAGTTCTACCGTCATGGGATTGCCCACCCACTACAACCCCTCTGCAGCCCTTGGTTCATTGACCATGCCATGCTGATCGTGGGCTACGGCAAACGTGAGTTCTGCTGACAGTCTCCCCTTACCACAGGCCGGTGTCAGACAGCAGCATCTCCGGACCTCTGGGAAGGAGACCGAGGGAACCCCTAGGAACCCCTAGGAACTCTAGCTGGGAAAGCTGGGGCTAGGGGAGGAGGAACAGTTTTGCTGCAGGCTGTGGCTGGTTCCCTCCCAGTGCCCCAGAGCTGCTCCAGGCCTCCAGGAGTGGCAGCCTGCTCTTGTTTTCTAATCTTTTCCTAGTACCCATCATATAGTAGGTCCATTGCAGGTATGCAAAAGATACAAAGTAGTTGAGGCTGTGAATGGAGAAATGGGGGCCCTGACCTCTTGCCCTCTACACTGCTCCCAGGCTCTGGTGTTCCTTTCTGGGCCATCAAGAACAGCTGGGGCACTGACTGGGGTGAGGAGGTAAGTCTCATCCACTTGGCCCTCTGGTCCTCCCACCCCCCTGCCTGGGCCTCTTATCAATCCCTCTCCCTCAGGGTTACTACTACCTGCATCGTGGGTCCAGGTCCTGTGGTGTGAACGTCATGGCCAGCTCAGCGGTGGTAGAGTGAGGAGCCAGTGGTGCAGGACCTGGTGCTGACCAGAGCAGCTCCTTCCCTGGCCTGACCCCATGTCCAGGTCCTCCCCAGGAGGCACAGCTGCCTGATGGAGGGGTGGGTGCTGGGAACCTTACATCGAACAGGGGGGTGTTCTACTTTTGTCTAACCTGCTTCTGCCGGAAGCCCCCCACCCCCAGATGTACTTTTGTTGAATTGTGGTGTGGCAGCTAGGACCCTGGGGTGAAGAATGTTTTCAGAGCAGCCAAAGCTGAGGCAGGTAAGGAGCTGGGCTTGGGTAAGGAGCACAATGAAAATATTCCCATTGTAAACCCAGCTTGGTCCTCAGCAAGCTCTGGCTCTCCTCTGATGCTGTAAATATCCTGATCCCCCTGGATTTGGGGATACTGTCCCTTCCACATCCAATAGCCACCCTTCTCTCACAGCAATAAAGAGGTGTTCAAGTTCCCAGTACATTGTGAGTGCTCCGTGTCTGAGGCCAAGGAGAGGTAGTGGGTACCCCTGGTGAGCCAGGGTGGGATAGCTGGTCCTGCCCAGGGATCTGAGGGCCCAGCTTCTACTCTAGGAACCACCATGAGATGGGAAGAGGCCCAAGGATGGATCTTTATTCAGGAACAGTTGGCTGGCCAGTCTGTGGGGCCCTTGTTCTGAGGGACGGATAGGATCAGCTACATCGAGCACCCTGTCTCATCTTCCATTGAGAACCACATAGGTAGGGGTCAGAGATCGCTCTCCCCATAGAGGGCATTGGAGAAAGCCACATAGTCCAGAGCTCCAGCTGGAGCCCCAGATCCTTTGTATGGTGCCATCCGGTGGATACAGTATTCAGCCTGCTCAGCTGGGAGCTCCCGCCTCAGTTCCTCAGGGGTGATGTAGTTCTGGGGAAGAGGAGGTGTTGAGGTCTACAGTCCCGTGCTCTGCCACAGGCCACCAGTTCCCCTATTCCCCAGGGCTTACCTTGTCTCCTGCCAGGATCTTGAAGGAGGCCATCACTTGTTCAGCTGTGTCTGTCTCAGCTGTCTCTCGGGTCATGAAGTCAATGAAAGCTTGGAAGGTCACTACCCCAGTGGCATTGGGGTCCACCATGGTCATGATACGAGCAAACTCTACTTCTCCCTGCAGAAATAAAGGCCAGGAGTCATGTCCATAGGTGCTAAAGCCAGGAGGGCTCCCAAAGTCTCCTCTTGGGGACTTTCAAGCCTTGGGTTCATAAATCTTGGGACAGGATGTGCTCTTCTCCAAAGGCCTCAATCAGCCTGGCTTTAGGAAGTCTGTGCAGGCCCAAACTTGCTCTATGCCCATAGCAACTCTGCATTTTGCTCATCGGTCCTGATGTTTTCCCTGAGGCCATATCTCTCTGTAGAGCCCTTTGTTTAAGGTAAAAACATTGCAGGTTCAGACCTTGGGGTCACCCAGAACAAGGCCTAAGTTACTTTACCTGTGAGCCTTTGCCAGTCCCCATGGGTGTGATGAGAAGTAGAGATGACAACACACATGAAGGGAGGAGGCACACGGTAGGTGATCATTACAGAGGAGAGGGCACCAGTGGCATTCCTGGGAACAGGTGTGGGGATACTCACCAGGTCGTAGCCCATGGAGATGAGGCAGGCTCGGAAGTCATCAGGTTCCATCATCCCATTCCGCTTCTGCAGGGAGTGGGTGGACGTAGGCTTGGTTCCTAAACCCTACCAGCCCCCCAGTCTCCTAGCCCAACAGGCTGGGCCCCTGCTGACCCGGTCAAAGTGGTTGAAGGATGCCCGGAACTCGTTGAGCTGCTCCTGGCTCAGGCCTTTAGCATCTCGGGTCAGTACCTGGTTCTCCACCTCATTGATTGTGCGGGCAATGGAGGTAAGCAGCTGCTCCCAGCCCACACGGATGTGCTAGAGAGTGGGAGATGGGCCAGTCAGTGGGTGGCTGGTGCCTGGCCACTATTATAACCCCATGCAACCCTCTGTTTGTCCTCCAACAAATCCTTGCCCTTATTGGGTCCCTCACCCATCACTGAGTGACCTCTCTAGTATGCCTTTGTGCTTTAAAGTTTGATGGTTTATTATGTATTCAATACTGATCAGCCAGCTATGGCCAGTCCTAGCCTGACTTTAACCTGCTTTGTGACTCTGAACTTGTCATTGTCCAGCATTCGCATGGGCTATGCTGCCAAGTCGAACTGGGGCCTTTCTAGAACAGACATGCTCCATCCAGCTGGGATCACGCCAGCCTTCCCCAGCCTATGTAGACTTCCACTCTCCCCAGGGGCTGGGGCCCACCTCCATGCTGTAGACCGTGTGCTTATTGTCAAAGACCAGGCTCTCCTGTAACAGCTGATGGTCACCCTCCAGCCGGTCAATGTTGCTCTTGTAATTGATGATGTTCTGCTCCTGCTGCCGCAGCCCTGCCATCTGCTCCTCCAGAGAACCAGCCAGCCCTGCTGCCAGCCGTCCCACCTCCTGCGGGGGTACCCATGCAGAATGAGGGCTCTCAGCTCCCGGGGACTCTGCCCTGGCCCCAACCCCAGGTTGGCCCCACTGCCTAAGCCTTTACCTCCACCTTTGCCTGGATCCAAGGTCCCACAGCATTGGCCTGGGCAGCAAACTGTCGCCGGAGCCTCTCATTCACCTGTTGTCGTGACAGCTCCTCCTGCAGAGTCTGGTCACGGCTAGGCACCAACTTTCGGACCTGATAAGGAACATGGTTAAAAGCAGTTCTGGGAGCCAGGAGGTAGCTTTGAGGAGAGATGGGCCCTAGTCCCTCAAACTTCAGCCCTGTTGCTGTGAACCAAACTGGCCCGTGTGAGCAAGCTCACAGGCACATCACTTAGGCTCATTTTTGCTTTATGTACAAAATGGGTGTGTGACATCACTCATAACTTAGGTGGTTTTATGGACATATAAACTTTAATCAGTCCTGGTGGGAGATTCTCCATTATACAGATGAGGCCATGACAGGCGAGGTGGTTTATCCCATGTCATGTGGAGGCAGTGACAGACCTCAGATCTGGAGGTAGATACTATTGCACATAACTTGAGACACCTGAGGTTTCTGGGTGTTTTAAGAGTATACATGAGGGGTCAGGGCACAGGGCAGGATTGCTGGAGGCACTGACCATGTCCCACTTGGTGTTGATGTCCTGTGGGGTGAGACTGATGTAGGGGTTGGTAGTTGCGGGCCGTAACCCATACGTTTGGCAGATCTTCTGGATCTCGCCCTGGATGCCCAGGATGGCACCTCGTTCTCGATCAGCCTCAGGCAGCGTCGCCTTGAACTGGTCATGTGCTGTCAGCAGGCTCTGGGGGTGACAAGCAGGAAAGATCAGTTCCTACAGAGTAGGAAAAGTGGCAGTGCCTGTCAGGCCTGGTCCTACAGCCCAACTTAGCACTCTAGAAATGGACTTTTCTACTATTCTCATTCCCCAGGAGCCCAAAGGAGTGGCTGGCAGGATTTAGGGCTAGGTTCTCTCCCCACACACACTAAAAATTGAATCCATGATCTTTTTTTTTTTTTTCCTTTTTATCGATACCAGGGATCGAACCCATGAGTGCCTGCTTGCAAGGCAGGCACTTATGCCGCTGAGCTAAATCCCCAGCCCCGAATCCATGATCTTTGCATTGAGCTATATCCCCAGTCCTTTTTTATTTGTATGTAATATCATTTTATTTATTTATTTATTTATTTATTTATTTATTTATTTATTGAGACAGAGTCTCGGTATGTAGTTGAGGCTTTGAACTCACTATGTAGTCCAGGCTGGCCTCAAATTCATAGTGATCCTGCTGCTGCCACACCCTCCTGGTGTTTTTCTTGTTGTTGTTGTTTTTTTTAAATAGAGATTCTAAATTTCTCAGATTGGGATTGAACTTGTGATCCTCCTGCCTCAGCCTCTCAAAAGTGCTGGGATTATAGGCATTGGCCGCTGCATCAGGTTTTGGGGCCAGCTTTCCTGCCATCCAACCCAGTGTCCCCCAGGACTGTCCTCAGAGCCCCGCACCCACCTGGGTCTCCTCCACCGAGTGCACCAGCCACACATCCTGTAGGTCCTCCACTGCTCCATCCAGCCAGTTGTTGAAGGGTGCTGCCCGCCGCGCAAACTCCAGCTGCAGCTGATCGATGGTTTCCAGGAGCTTCTCCATCCGCTACGGGCCAAGAGGATAGCGGATCAGTGCCTCCTCAGCGCCTCACTCCTTGGCCTCAGCTACTTGGCCCCAGACTTCACCTCTAGCGCATCCCGTCTCTTCTGGGTCAGAGTGCCCAAGTTATCCCATTGGTCACAGATGGCCTGGCAGCGGCTGTTTACTGAGGCCGCCTCGTGGTAGTCCAGCTCACTGCGGGTGAGAAGAGGTCTGAATCCTCCCAGGGCTCCCAGGCCTTGACCAGGGCCCATGGTGGTAGTGAAGGCCTAGGTGACCCAGGGCAGGAGAGGGATAAGGCAGAGTTTCTGCAGGAGGACGTCAGGTAGGCATTTGGAGTTCTCCAGTCCTTGGCTGGAGGAGGGGCCTGAGGAATCAGAGGCAGGATTATGCGAAAGGAGGTAGGTTTGCAGAAGGCGATGGAGTCCAAAGCTGAGGGCGAAGTTTAGGGTAGGAGTCTAGGGCCCAAGGTAAAAGGAGCGGCCAGGTTAGGAGTTACACCACGGAGTGGGACAGATGCAGCGCAGCGCGGTAAGGAGGTGGAGCTGGGGTTCCAGAAAGGGAGGCGTGAACGGTGCAAGGGCGTGGGTACAGATGCCAGTTAGGAAACCAGGACAACCGAGGTCTTGTGGAGGACATGGTGTGAAGAGGTTGGTAGCGGGGCGGGGCCACGAAGGGGCATGGTCTCTGGGGGGCGGGTCAGTCATGCGCACTTGAGCTCCTGGGCTAGGGCTGCGATGTGCTCCACGCGGTCCTGGTGCGCCGCCAGGTCGCTCTCAAAGGCTTCGTGACGCCGCAGCAACGCCCGCACCTCCTGTAGCGAAGCTGACTCATAGTCCCGCTGGTTTAGCATGTCCTCCTTCCCTGCTCAGAGAGAGGTCCTGCTCCAGTCACCTGGTAGCGGTCGCACCAGGAGCAGGGGGTTCAGTCGGGCTGCAAGACCCCTGATGATACCTGCCCAGCCAACCCTAGGGCTCTTCCTCTGAGATAACAGCACAAGTGAAGCTCCTGACCACAGCATGAGGCTGCCCCTTGGTGCCGTTTTGGAATTATTTGGATGCTAACTACCTCTCAATGTCTCTGTGAGTTCCGATTTTCTCGTTCCCCACTTTCTCCAGAGCTTGGCATAGTTATGGGCCCTTGGTAGCCCTTAATGAACAGAATATCCGTTGGATGAGTGCATAATGAATGTAAAAGTGCTTTGTGAGTGATAATTACCTTAATTTTGCAAATAAAGACCTGCATAATCATAGTAGCAGTAGAGCCACTTTGAATGCTGCTATATTGCTGCTATAGAGGAGAATGCCATAGAATGCTGCTATAGAGGAG